TTTACATACTGCTTTAAAATAAATGTTCATGTTATCAACAACTTAAAATTTCAAACATACGATTAATTATATTGACATGTTACACAGTAACAGAAAAAAAATTATAAATCTTTTAAATGATTTTTTGGGCAAAATTATTTATTTATGATTTAATATACATATGAATTATTCTTTGTTATGATTCCAAAGCTTTTTTCATTTAATATAAACAAATAAAGACTATGCTCCAGAAACTGAAATATTTTTCAGTAGAGATAATGGAAACTGTTTTCTTTGGTAAATCTATAAAAGGACTTGCTTGGCTCGGATCACTGAGGCATTTTCTGCTTAAGTTACTTAGGAACATTTTTCAGGGTGGGTTAAACTGTCTTCATATCTCGTATAAAAACACATGTCAGATGTGTTTATATGCTTTTGAAAAATGTAAAACAAAGCTTGAAATGTTTCATTGTATGCTTCTATATGATATATGCTCTGAGATATTTTAGAAAGGACTTTGATTCCCAAATCTCAGTTTATAAACAGAATTTGAAAGGTATTACCTTGTTGAAAACCTTGAGCCAACAGATTACAATGTATACATTTATACAACATAGTATAGGCAGCAAGAAAAAAAAGAGAAAGAAAAAAAGGATAACATTGTGTAAAGCTTATACCTTTTAATAGTTTTAAAATGCTTTAGATGTGATAACTAAAATAATATTAATTTTCTAATAAAGAAAAAAAAAAATCAACTAGACCAAACAATGTTTTACAACGAATTCTAGAAATTTACTGACAGGAGAGAAACTACTGAGGTTACTTTTTTTTTATTTTGAGACAAAGTGTCGCCCTGGGTAGAGGGTAGAAGGCTGTAGCGTCACCGCTCACAGCAACCTCAGACTCGGCCTCGAGCGATCCCCTTGCCTCTGGCTCCGGAGTAGCTGGGACTATAGGCGGGCTCCACAACGCCCTTTTTTGGTTGTAGTTGTCACTGTTGTTTGGCAGGCCCGGGCTAGGTTCCACCCGGCCAGCCCTGGTGCATTTGGCTGGCGCCCTAGCTGCTGAGCTGCAGGCGCTGAGCCATCTTTACCTTTTCTTTTCCCTAATTAGACGATACTCTAGAGAACACTGAGTAAAGCAGAGCTCCACTTTTGATATGAAAGCATTAGTGTCAGAGTTATTAGGCTGAGTGGTTACTTTCCGCCAGGTAAACGGAACTTCTTGACAAGTTTTCTTTGTAATTTGAGGTATGAGTGATGGTTCCTAACCCAAGTTTCCAGCTTTGGAAAAATATTTATCCGAAATGCTTGGAAACTCGGGAATGCGCACCAGGAATATTTTCTCGTCTGGGCTGATAGGAGCAGTGCCAGTTTGGGCATCCCAGGTTGAGCCCCGGGAACCGAGCCCAGCTGAAGTGTCACCCACCACCCCGCCCCAGACAAGGAAAACGCCGGGATGAGCATCTGGCTGCAAGAAGGAACCGCGGGGCCAGTCCTTGCCTCTCCTGCTTGGGACGCATCAGTTTGTGACCAAAGGGAGCCTACGCTGTCACTCGACCTGTCCTCGGAAAGTTGTTGGGGACCGAGAGGATGATGCAGAGACCTTTGCGACACCCCTAAGCCGCTCCGCATCTTCCACACTTCACCTCGCTCACGACCCCGCGGTACACTGTCCCGCTCGCCTTGCCAGGGGTTCCCCGGCAGCTCGCAGCTCCCGGGACCCCCTCCTCCTACGTCCCCCGAGGCGCCAGAGTCCCCCAACTTGTTGCAAAAAGCAAGAAGGGCCAATGCCTACCCTGGTGATGATCAGAGGCTGGTTGAAGTCGATGCCCCCTGAGAGTCTGAAGCCCCAGGGAGCAGGGCCCGGGAGCACCACGGTCTGGGGCATGGTGGCTCCTGGCACTGTGAGGGGCGGCCCTGTCCGCGGGGAGTGTCCCGGCCACGGCTGGGGGAGCTTTATCCGCGCTGGGGGTGACGTCAGGGCCCCATCCCCCCAGACCCCGCCCACTCCGGACAGCTCGGACTTTGGAAGTTCACCCGGCTGCGCCCTGGGCGGCTTCGGGTTACAGCCGCTGTCACTCTTAAAGGAGCACCTGTCCGTCCACTCGTCTGCTTGGAGCTCAGAGTGTGCTTTAAGGGAAGTTAAAAGCAGCCAGATCGCAGCCTCCGTGGTTCCCATTAAAAAAACACGCCAGCATCGCCAGTAATGCTTAGTTATTTAGCAATTTTGAGTGCACCAATATTTCCTTACTAGATCTGCGACTTTGGCTACGTTACTTAACGTCCTTAAACCTCAGTTTCCTCACCTGTTCGATAGAGGTAACAGTTGTACCTACCTTGTAGGGTCACCGCGAGAATTAAATGAGCCCTCCTGCACAGCGTAATTCTCAAGAAATACGAAGCATTTCTACAATTAAAAATACATGTGCATACATTCATTTATGGGTATATATATATATATATATGCACTGACATAGATGTAAATACAGTCATTATTTATTTATTTATTTATTGAGACAGAGTTGAATTCTGTCACCCTGGGTAGAGTGCTGTAGCGTCAGAGCTCACAGCAACCCCTCAAACTCCTGCGCTCAAGAGATCCTCCTGCCTCAGCCTCCCAAGTAGCTGGGACTACAGGCGCCCACCACAAGGCCCAGCTGATTTTTCTATTTTTAATATTCTCTCTCTTGCTCTGGCTGGTCTTGAACTCCTGAGCTCAAGGGATCCACCTGCCTCCAGCCCCCAGAGTGCTGGGATTACAGGTATGAGCCACTGCACCAGCCTAGTCAATATTTTTAAATGAAGCAATTTAAAAGTGAAAATGCACAAACATATATCCTCTCCAATGGATCATCTAGGAGTTCATATGAACGGATGAGGGATTAATATACTCAAAATAGAAACATAAACAATTTTAAGTGGACAGCTTTCACCTCCATCACATTCAGTCTCTCTAGCCATACGTTTTGGATGCCTGAAGGGTAGTGTAACTGGACCCCAAAGTCTGAGGCTGCCCTGTGCAGAAGGAGCTGCAGCCAAAGCAGGTGCCTAGTGGAGTGGGGATAAGGTCTGCTAAGAGGACCTCCACTCACAAGGAAACTGCTGGGCTGAATGAGGCAGCAATGTTCACTGGGCATCTTAATGGTTCAAGTGCCATAGCCACTGCTTTACCTGTGATCTTGCTTCATCCTCATGAATTTGTCTGGTTACTGTTACTAGTCCCAATAATTTTTTTTTAAGGTGAGGAGATAATTTCTTGGAAGTGGAATAACTTTCAGAGGATCACACAACTAATAGATGGTAGAATTGAAATAGAAAACCCAGGACTGCCTGGCTCCCATGTCTGCCTGGTATAGGAATAAAAGTCCCTGGCCTTTGTTCAAGGGTGTGGGTGATGGCCGGTGGAGAAGGTTGAAATGCCTTTAAGATCCCAAATCCCCCCCACTCTAGGAGGCAGAGGTAGGTAGATCCCTTGACCTCAGGAGTTTGAGACTGGCTGGAGCAAGAGTGAGACCTTGCCTCTACTAAAAATAGAAAAAGTAGATGGGCATTGTGGGACCTGTAGTCCCAGCTACTCAGGGGGCTGAGGCAGGAGGATCACTTGAGCCCAGAAGTTTGAGGTTGCTGTAAGCTATGATGGTGCCCCGGCACTCTACCCAGGGTGACAGAGTGAGACTCTGTCTCAAATAATAATAATAATAAAACAAGAAAAACATACCCAAGAACAAGGATCTTAGACATAATGGCCATTGACAGGACCATATCAGTCCAGAACGGCAGTACTGCTCCATACTTTTAAGAGAGCAGTTTGTTTGGAAGAATGTTAAGACTGATGGAGGAAAGAGAATGAAGACATAGGAAGCTGTGAGAGAAAGTGTAAATCCCAAATAATACTCTGTCCACTGCAATTGATATTGGCAGACATCGCTGAGTGCCCCACCTATGTTATCATCAGGAGAATTAGCTGATTTTACCTATTTGAGCGGTCTGTATTATTGCAGGGTGCCTTTCTTCTGTCATCACTGGCTGTGTCTACATGGTACATTCATGCACACTCAAGGGTCAATACAGAAAAAGAATGAGACAAGTTATTTGGTGTTAACATAATTGTACTAACTCTTTACACCTAAACTCATAAACTTGTTTATATAATCAGTGTCTTCTAAGAGTTTTTTTCTTTGCTTTTTTACTGGTCCTTTCAGCATTGTTTAGATGTAGGCGACATATCTACAACAGCAGCATAATACCTGCTGAGTTCTTAAGGCCTTGCAGAGTGAGAAGACAGGGACACAAAATGTCCCAGTTTTCCCCATCTGCAGAGCACTGAGATCCGCGGGAAAGTGCTCTGAGGTGACTGTCAAGACAGAGGTGTGAACAGCTGCCAGGG